ATGCGACGGGTAACGCGTCGTATTTCCAGTCAGAGTTTCGTTTGATGAGCTAGCATCAAGCTAGCGCGACAGTCGGACCTCAAATACAATTCAACAACAATATGCAAACATTCATTACCAATAAAAAATTTTTGTCACAACAGCTCAAGAAAAAGTAATATAATTATCAAACATATACATCAGTTAACTAAAGGGAGAAAAAATACAATAATAGAATAATAATACAGCTGTGTAGTCATTTTAATATTATTTGGCAACATGTAATGTGTATTTCAGTACGTTTTTTTGTTTTTGTTTTAAGCCGCTAGTCGACTGGCTTGGCGAGCTCCGCAATTGGACAGTCTGATAGCGCAGAGCCGCGGTGCATTGTGGGGCGGTTTAGTATCAACAGTGTGCTCCCATTTCATGTGTAAATGTTCTTGCTGATCTAGTATACATCTGGGTATTTTTCACATACACAAAATTGCATTCTATGATTTTGTAATGGACACTGCGTCGAGTATGAATAGTAAAATATGCGATTTCCGACACAGCCTCTTTTCTTTCAAGCTAACGACTCCGCTATCGTTTTTTTTTAATAAGGTATGCATATTTTCTTTTCCTTTTAGTTAAACTGTTGTAAAATGTTTGGGTAGAAGGGTCAAACTGCTGAAGATAGACACCGTTAACCCAGTTTCATTTGCATGGAAACTATCAATTAAAAGCCGATACGGTATCCCAGAATATAAGATCAGGACACTCAACTGTATCAGCATTTCTCTAACCATCTGGTTTCACTACCCTCACTCAGTTTGGAGGGTTAATATGTGATTCATATTGAAACCTTTTTGAGGTTTCACAACAGGACATGTGACAACAAGAATAATTATTAAAACCATCAACATGACAAAAACAGAATCATGTCGAGGTGCACGTGTCGATCACACAGCCTGACTCATCAACATGTTTTTATGTTTTTGAGTGTGCTCTCATTGAAGCAGCAGGGTTTGTCTGAATGTGTGTGTGTGCGTGTGTGTGTATCACCTCTCAGACAGGCGCTCCAGACAGAAATCAGGCGTCACGTGCAGCTCCAACACGTGGGAAACACAGAGCGACTGCTGCTGTAGAATGAGAGAACAGACTACAGTTTAGACTCATGCTGCAGGTGTGGTGTCACCTGCTGTTCTTCTGTTCTCAGGCTGTACGTTCACACTGCAAACACATGACACAGGGATTAGCATGCAGTGGGATGTTCACTTTCAAAGGCTGCCAAATGACAAAAAAAAAAACATCTTAAACTGCTAACACTTAACTTGTTGACTGGATGCTAACAACTCTAAGGCACAACTCTCTGAATCAATGGCAACATGCACCAAAGTTTTATGGGAAATGTAGTTAAAGCATAGTTGTCTACCACTTAGGCGTTCTGTATGTATACTGCTAGTCAGCTCATCTTAGCAACTACTTAAAGCCTAATATGTACATCTACTAAGCAGTAGGTGAGTTTAAAGAACACATTGTCATCTCGTGTTTCTGAGAGGGGAGGGAGCGAGGAGGAGGAATCTCCTCCCCCTCAGCTGTTGTTCACTCCTCCCCCTTTGTTCTAAGAATTCCTAGAAAGCTGTTTTGTTTTTGAACTTTCACTACCGAACAACTCCCTCCTCCGCTCTCCTCGCCCGCCTGTTACCGTGGTTACATGAAAAACAGCCACGAGGCTATTGCGTAAATACCCCCCCCCCCCCCTTTTTCTTTCCCGTCGCTCCTCCCACACACGCACACCCACAGCTCCTCATGCCCGGCAGTGTGAGGTCATTGAACTGATCTCAGTGCAGCTGCTGCAAAACTTGTTATCTCCCTCTAACATTACAATGAAATGAAGACGAGCACATCTGTAGAACTAGTCTCTATATTTTATGAAACCTCTGCAACTGTGAAAAGTTATTCCACTCCAACAATACCTATTTATTTTGACATTGATATTAACAGAAAGGTCAATTGGAAGCTTAATCCAAAGGCAACTGGACACAGTACACGCAACAGAGTAGACAACAACATCATGTTTACCAGAGAGGACGTCTTCGCCTTCTTGGACAGTGAGGTGTGCATTGAAGAAGACAGAAGCCTCAACATTTGAGTCTACAAGAAAAACCTACCCACACAGAGACCAGTTTTCACTTTTTGAACCCCACCATCCACTACAACACAAGTTAGGTGTCATCAGAACCCTGCACCATAGGGATGTGAGTGCACCTGCAAGGGCAGAGGGAAGACAGGGGCCACAGAAACATCTGAGGGAAGCACTCAAGACTTGATGTTACTCGACCTGGGCCTTCGTCAAGACTTCCAAAAAAGCACAGTCACCAACAAGGAAGAAGAGAAAAAACAAACGTCACTGCATTGTAACTCCATACTTAAGAGGATTTTCACAGACACAACATCCTGGTTCACTACTAACCATCCAACACCTTGAGGCAGAAGTTGGCCCAACCAAGGACAAGACTCCCTATTGTTGCTATCAGTGCAACGATGAATGCAGGGATTTATTCATCGGGGAGGACTGAACTACCGCTAATGCATCGGAGAGACAGCTCTTCAGGACAGAATCCGTTGGTTTGAACGGGATGTTAAAGAAGCCATCACGACTCTGTCTTTCACCAACCTACAATGTTTTTTTTTAATTGTCTTTTAAAAACAACTGAAGCCCCATTCCCACCTCGGTACGTGTGACCTCAATGACCCACAAACGACTCGGGGTGTTAACGACACTTGGCGAAACTAGTTCAGCGACTCAGCTAACGACTCTCATGATTAGCAGGCTAAAGATCCACAGAGATCTTTAAAACATGAAACCAAGTGTAGCATGAAAAATAAACATTTGACAATAAAATAGAAAACAAATCATGTTTCTGAATGAAAGTGAGCTAACCATCATTATCCCTTGTGACATCTTCTGGAGGCAATTCGAAAACAACAATTTGAAAAAACTAAAGACATTAAGTTGGCTTCTAATGCAAAGTTGTTTCCCAGTCTTAGAATTGTTCTAGTGTTCAAGACAGCATGAGCATTGCATTTACATTTATTTATAAAGTCAACATGCTGCACAGTTTGTAAAAAAAAGAAAACAAGCAATCCCATAATTAAAAAAAAAAAACTCTTCAGGATGCTAAGCTAACCTCTCCGTTTCCCCGCATCAATGGGATCGTTTCCAGCATTACAAACACAGACCGGCCCCCCCCCCCCCCCCCCCAAACCTATGGATAGAAAAGGGGACAAGCTCTGAACTGTCCCAACAGATCCGATCCTTCAGCTTTAAGTCAGTTGGTTCAGAGCTGAAGAAGAAGAGGTGAAAACTCTTCAAGATCTTCAACCAAGTCCAGTTGCCTTTGGATCGAGCTTTGGATTTTACCATGACCTGGGTGATTGAGAACCTACACAGACCACTAAGAGGTACAAAGAGTTTCAGAATTGCTCCAGTGGATTTCTTCAGCCTGCAGCGGTGAAACAGTCTGTAACAGTGATCGGACTAACAGATGTAAACAGATGTAACCAGAACTATGTGCAGTAAACGAGAAATAAATATATATACAGAGCTATGTGCAAGTAGGCTAAATACTAAATGATAAGTTATAAGGTGCATAATGAATAATGGAACAACATAACTAATATAAACAATATAACTGTAAAGGTAAGAATTAGATAAATAAAGTGACCGTAGTGCAATGATGGATAAGAAACAACAGGAATAAGTAACCAGAGCTGTATGAATACTGATATAGAAAGGATAGAATAAAGTGATGTAGTGCATGAGAGCAGATAAAGCAGAGGCTGTTCAGGTGCACGGCAAATGGAAGGAAGTAAAAAACAGCAAAGTTCACAGCTGAGAGCTGAACTGGGTGAGAGGTGTTGTTTGGTGTTCTCGAGTCGTGATAATCACGTCTCTTTTATCCTACCTTATTTAACATGACTGTCCATTGCCTTTGGTTGGTATGGTTTTCTCTGAACGTGGAAACTTGAATTAAGCTTTTTGGCTCTAAAATGAGGAACAATTTCCAACACACTCTCAAGACTGACACTGTTTTTTTCTCTTGGACAAATTAAGACAATGAAACCACTTGAAACCAAAGTGAGCGATTGTTGTTGTTTAACAGAATCATCCTGTCTCTGTTGTTTTATTTGTGCTCTTTTGTGTAACTCGACATCATTGTTCTTTAATAACATTTTGAATTGAATGGAAATGTTTAAAGCAACCAGACAATCCATGCACAACAAGGGAAGTACTACTACTACTGGCCTGATGGATTTTTTGTGTGTATGTGTGTAATGTGGATACTTGCAGTAAGAGTTTTGTGATAACTTCCAGTTACAGGTCACAAGCTGATGACAGGACTTTTCTGATATGGCTGCTTCCAATTATGATAGCATTTGATGACTTTTGATGAAATGGTGTTTTACTAACTCTTCTGATAATCTGATTTGTTGTTGCTTTAGTTTATGACCAATGACGGTCATAAGTTCCAAGTTCCCCTTCAGCCTCGAGTGGACTTTGTGTTAACTGATTTTAGTGCGGATGTAAGGTGTGGGTCATTACTCACCTTTCTGTGCTCCTCTCTGCAGGAGGTGTCATCTCTTACATCGGTTCCTCTGGAGGCTCTCCGCCCAGGACAAGTCCAGTCTCCATGTACAGCGAGAACTCCTCCTCGTCTTTGACTCCCTCCTTCCTCAGCAGCAGCGGCAGCTCAAGCTCGGGCTCTGCAGGCGATGACGGCTCCTCTTCCGCCTCCTCTTCAGCAGGAGGCTCGCCGAGAGGCCGAGACGACGGAGGCCCTGTGAGGGCATCGCCCAGCAAGTCTGTGGCCAGTCTGACCAGTGAGTAGTTAAAAACAGCAGATACTCATCCTCACACACTCTTTACTTTTTTATGGGAAAGAGGGACGTCCATGTGATTCATTTTCAAACTCACATTGCAAACTTAAATGATGATCAGATCTTAATTAGCTGTGATCTCAGAGAATTAACACATTTTTCTGTTCGCTTGTGTGTGTTTCAGAACTCAATGGCATGGTGTTGCTGTGTAAGGTCTGTGGAGACGTGGCCTCAGGTTTCCATTATGGAGTTCATGCGTGCGAAGGATGCAAGGTGAGATATTCATCGCTCACCCACACACACCCTGTGATTCACACACATTTCAACATGAATACCAAGATTTAACTTTCTGACGTCCCGATTGCGTTTCCTCCTGAAGGGATTTTTCCGCCGCAGCATCCAGCAGAACATTCAGTATAAGAAGTGTCTGAAGAACGAGAGCTGCACCATCATGAGGATAAACAGGAATCGCTGTCAGCAGTGTCGCTTTTAAGAAGTGCCTGTCTGTGGGCATGAGCCGCGACGGTGAGTACCCGTCTGTCTGTCTGTCCATGAGTTTGTCAGCAAACCTGTCTGTCTGAACTTTTTGACAGTATTTCCTGATTACACGTCACATCTACCCGTGTGTACACCACTTACGTCTCATTTAACTGACATCTTCTTCCTCTTCTGTCCGCAGCCGTTCGTTTCGGTCGGATCCCGAAGCGCGAGAAGCAAAGGATGCTGGCTGAGATGCAGAGCGCCATGAACAACATGGCGAACATGCAGAACGATTTCCAGCTAGCCAGCCTCACCTCCTCCTCCTCCCCCTCCCCCGCCTCTTCATCCTCTCCGTTGCCGGGGGGTGACCATCGCCCCCCAGCCTCCGCCCCAAGCTCTGCCTTTGGCTCCCGCCTCGCCCTCCCCTCCCGCTCCAGCCACTTCCTCCTCACCCCCTCCTCTTCCTCCTCCCCCTTTTCCTGCCCTTCTCTGCCAGAGCCCCTCCCCGCCGTCCTCACCCCCCTCCAGCCCTGGGTTGGACACCACCATCAGCGCCATCGCCCTAGCTCACCGCGAGACCTTCCTGTATGCTCATGACAAACTAGCCAATCCCCACACGCCACCTCAGCAACAGCAGAATAACCACGCCCACTACGGCAACAATGAGGCGGAGCACTGGGGGCCCAACAGGTGCCAAAACGGTTACCATGCCAACGGGCTAAATACTATCTACCATCATAACAACAACCACGGGACAGGGCACTACCTGCAGCAGGACAACAGCAGGAACATTACGCATCATCACCAAGGCAACAGGAAGCGGACCCTGCACAACAGCAATATGATTGGAGGAGAAGGGTTCAACGACCCCGGGACCCAGGGGCAGAACTGTCCAATGAAGAACCGCACCGGGATAGTGTTGGTAAGAACTGATCGGGAAATGTTCTTAACTCATGAAAAGTAACACACCGTCTCTCAGAAGTCTCTGTTACCTGTGATGTTGATGTTCAGGTGAACTGACCTCTCCTCTCTCTCCAGGCCTGCCCAATGAACATGCAGCCTCAAGCCGACCCCGCGAAGAACCCTCAGGAAATCTGGGAGGACTTCTCCGTGTCCTTCACCCCTGCTGTCAAGGAGGTGGTGGAGTTTGCTAAACACATCCCCGGATTCAGTTCTCTGACTGAGAACGACCAGGTCACCTTGCTCAAGGCGGGCACCTTTGAGGTACTACAACAACTGCAGTTTTACTTATTTGGCGTCAGAAAGGATTTAATATAAAGTAACAGATGTTCAAATTGTTTCCTTACATGAAGCTACAACCTGCAGCCGTTATCATGGCTCTATGCAAAAGAGAGAAATGAGAGGACCTAGTTTCCAGTCATTTTTCTAAGCTCTAAGCTTAATTTAGGAACTTATTTAGACACTGTAAATATGTCAAATCTGTATTTCTAGCATTAAGTTTGGTGTATTCCTTTGCATCTTATTCTTTCCTCTGCTTCTTCTCCCAGGTGCTGATGGTGCGCTTCGCTTCCCTTTTCAATGTGAAGGAGCAGACTGTGACTTTCATCTCTGGCGCCACCTACAGCCTGGTGGAGCTGCAGGCAATGGGGATGAACGAGCTGCTGAGTGCCATGTTCGACTTCAGCCACAAACTGGCTGTGCTGGAGCTGAGCGCCCAGGAACTGGGACTGTTCACCGCCGTGGTGCTGGTGTCTGCAGGTGAGGAGTCATGCTTCCTTATCGTCTGTAGTTGCTACGCTCTGCCTCACCTCGTCACTGTTGCTAGCCTGGTGACCTTTCTGTAACTGGCAACACATATTAGGCAAAACAACAGAAATGAGTGTCCTCAAATCTTCTGAAGTGAGCACCTGATTACCAGATCAACGACGCATGGATCAGTAGCTCCAGTCTCTTACAGTCTTTGCGTTATTTCCACTTTGCAGATCTCTGAACAGTGTTCCTGATGTTTTGCTTCTCCTCCTCAGATCGGTCTGGTATCGAGAATGTGGCGTCAGTGGAGCAGCTGCAGGAGAACCTGATCAGGGCGCTGCGTTCACTGATCTGCAAGTCCACGGAACCCAACGGCCAGAACCATCACAACGTGGACTCGCCGCGCTTTACCAAACTACTTCTGAAGCTTCCAGACCTGCGGACGCTCAATAACATGCACTCTGAGAAGCTGCTGTCTTTCCGCATCGACGCCTGAATGACCTCACGGCGATGACGTTCCCAGGTGCTTCTTCGGATTGGTCGGCGATAGGAAGAAACACAATATCATATGGTGCTCTCTACCGCCATGACGCCAAAGTCATGACGTTGTTACCCCAATGTGCTGAAGATGCCATCCCCGACAAATTGTAAAGACTTCAAAGTGATGATGTCATCAACAAAACTTTTCAGAAAATGACTCACCGCTAAAAAAAAGAAAAAGGCTGTAGCTTATGGAGCAACGACTTGGCCACGCAGACCGACCGAGTAGAAGGACCAGTTCTACATTTTAGGAATGCTGGTTTGCCGTCTTGCCCAGAGACAATGATCAGTTTTTAATGCTTTGTTTTAAAGCTTAGCGCAAATACCAGAAACAAAGGGAAACTGCTAGCCATGCTCGTGCTACGATTTAGTCAAATTCAGCCCTGAAGAGTAATGGGGGTACTTTGTGTTTTGAATTATCGCCCAAAGAATTATGGATGAATTTCATTATTTTGGGTAAAAATTGTAACACAGTCAACCATCTCTGAAGGAACTTGTAGTGTGATGAAGTTCATCTCGGACAGGCTTGAGCTTTGTCTGTACTCTGACCGCACTTCAAAGCACTTTGATAACAAGAAACAACATGTTAATCCAACAGATGTGTGGATTTTTACATCTCGAGTTCGGCCAACAGTTTCCCCCTAGCTTTCAGTCTTTGTACTAAGAGAGTCTAAAACATCCTGGACTGGTCTCTGTGCCAGATAAAGAGATAAAAGTGGTGTCGATTTGAAACGACCTGGAGAAGACGGACAACAGGATTATTCAAAAGTCGGACTCATCAGGAGCTGCCAACAACAACATCCACAACTTCCAGGTATCACAGACTGACGCTGGTGCTTCAGCACAGGACCGGCAGTGACGAACAAGCTCCACTGACCGATGAGACAAAAGTCAGACAATACAGCGTGCTGCTCTCTTAACGCACACTATGCTGCAGATTCTTGTATAAAAACTGTAAATATCCAATAATGCTTGAAGCTGTGTTCAACACACAAAGATATATTATACATCTATATTTTTTGTTAATAAGAGTACACGCCTGTGCAAATATTATGACTGTAAGAAAGCGTGACTGTACCTACAATGTCTGAAATGCATTAAATGAAGACGAGATATTCTGAGGTTTGTATTTTAATCTTTGTTTCCTGTTGTATAGACATTATATAATGTATATATAAATGTGTACAAATCTGAGGCCTCAGCATCTTGTTGTTTTTTGTTCTCTGAACAGTTTCAAGTTTCTTTTTATATTTGATAGTTTTTAATATTATTTGAATTTCTGAGACTAGTCTTTCCTGAGGCCTTTGTTATGATCAGGCGCCATATTCATTCAAATTGATGGATGAGTAACTTGATATCGCAAAGAAGCACAGGAAATAAAACTCTAAACTACTTTAAATACAACTACTGCTACTGACTTTAGTTAAGACTATACCATCTTATGGTGTAGAAATTGCAATAATTGACCAGTGATTACGAGTACAATTTGGCTTTTTTTCCCTCAAGATCGCCACTTATTTATCTTGTCATCTCTGGGTGACAAAGTTGATTTACCCATAAAAAATAGTTCATTTTTTTCTAAGATCTTGAGAAAGTGACTGGTTTTCTTGTGATAATGAGTCTAATTCAGAGATGTTATCCTAAGAAGAAAATGTTAAATGAGTCAAGGTCTCCAGAGAACAATAAAAATTGAGTTATAATCACATGAAAACAGAGTAAAGTAAAAACGTATATGCCAATGTCCTCTTGGGGCTTCCGTACAGAACAAGAACGACCAACGGATTTAAGAAAAAAAAAACAGGTAGGGACATTTTCAACAAATAACGAAACTGAATCCAGAAAGAAAGAATAAGAGGCTGAAAAAAAAGGAGGGGCAGTATCGGGCAATAACATTAAAAACTACAGTTTGTGTTCATTTAATGGATTCATTATTAAGAGAGAAAATAAATATCAGTAGTTTTATCTTACTTGCGATGCATTAAGTAGATCAGGGGTGGGCAACTGGCGGCGCGGGGGCCACATGCGGCCCCCATCGACCCTCAACGTGGCCCTCAGGTTAATTTTTTACACATCAATGAATTGGAAACATGAAGAAAACATGATGAAATCATGAAAAGCAGAAATATGTCCATAATAATATTTGATCACTGGTACATGTTGAGTTAATTTGAGACATTTGGCCCTCTGGCAGTGAGAAATGAATGTGGCCCTTGCTGTCACCAAAGTTGAGTTTATTAATAATCAAACATCTTTCTTTAATTGTTACACTTCAGGAGCTCAAAACTGATCGTGTCTTTTCTAAAGAAATGCAAATAATGAGGAGAATCATTCTCCTCATGGTTGACTTTACACCGAAGGAGCGGGTCAAACTGATGGAAAGTGGGTCAAACTGCAGCCTCATGGCCAACTTTTTCCTCTGTTCTCTGATTGGCCAACCCTGTCTTCGCCCACAGCATCATCGCCAACCAATGAGGAGCAAGTGGGCGGGACCATGAGCGCATGTCCCAGTTTTGAAGAGCACATTGACTGAGAAGACCGTTCCTGTTTATACTAGTGTCAAATAAAATAACTTACAGCACACTGTGTTTTTATTATTATCACGTTAAATCTTTAACAGTACTGATGAAAATATTAACACATAAACACCACACAGTCTGCAGTCACACACTGTATGTCACTGTCCAGTCTGAATAAATACAATTGTACCTTGAACCCCCCTGACTGAGGTAGAAACACCGTCTGAATCCTGAACATGCCATCTGATCACGTGTGTGTGTGTGTGTGTGTGTGTGTGTGTGTGTGTGTGTGTGTGTGTGTGTGTGTGTGTGTGTGTGTGTGTGTGTGTGTGTGTGTGTGTGTGTGTGTGTGTGTGTGTGCTGTTATGTCTGTACAGAGGGAAGAGCGCCAGTGCATGCTGGGAGGCCCACGCAGGAAGGCAGCAGACAGAGAATGGAAAAGCAGGAAACAGCGACTCCTGGTGGCCATAAGGAGCGCTGCAAAGCCCCAGTATCAACTGAAAAGAGGCTTTAGTTTACTTTTATGAGCTATTCTTCATTCATCTGTTCATTATTTTTATATTTAATAGGCTCAGTCTTTTTTATGATGGTCTCTAACAATATCTCAAACGTCTTTAAAGTGCGTCAGTTTTCAAACCAACCGGAAATGAAAATACTTTTCTTTTCCAAAATTAAAAAACAGCAAATTATCACGTAAAAGAAGTTGAACCAGCGAGTGTTAGACTTTTATTTAAAACTGAAAAATCCACAAATGTTTCATAACTTGTAAATCATATTTTGCAATTTATTCTCTTCCATTAGTTTTTATTTAATGTTTCTGTGACAAATGAATAAAAAAAAGTTTTCTTTGGTATAAAGGTTTATTTACATTTCCATGTTTTGTGCACTGACTTTACAGAAACAGACATTTACAATGCACAGATAGGAAAGTGAAACTTTACATACGTTCGTCTCTGTCCAAGTCTGTACTTTATCGTTGGAAACAGAAGCAAGAATAAAAAGGAGGAGACGGACAAAGAGTGAAACGTGAGGAAGGGGAGAAAAGTAAAGAACAAAGGGGGAGTTGGTCAGATGAGAGGACTGCTGCAGAGAAAGACCAACCACTCAGTCAGACTGAGATGAGTTTTATGAGGCTGAGAAACAAACAGACAGAGAGCGAGAGAGAGAGAGAGAGAGAGAGAGAGAAAAAACAGAAATAATAAATTAGTTTAATTTTATATCTGTGTAACATCTGTATCACGTGGCTTAATGAACACTAAGAGGGAACACACAGAAACATACGATTTATTTTGTCCTTTTTTTTTTAACACATCTAATTAAATTGATAACATGGAGAAGAAGAAGATCCTTTATTAATCCCACAAGAGGAAATGACTTTTACCCTCTGTTATTGAGACATGCTGCACACACTGTAGGCTTAAAGGATAACGGATAAGATGATTTCATTGATTCTGATTTTTGATTGAAAATGATGTTCAATTATCTTTTTTTTGGCCCATGTACACAATAGACCAGAGGTCATCAGGATTCTGTCATCTAGATCAGGTTGATCCAATCCAGTTTTACTTTAAAAACCAGAACAAAAGTAAATGTGATTACCTGATCCTGGATTTTTTTTTAAAAGTGTGATTTCCAAATCAGGCTACTCCTGATCCAGATTAAACGTTCTGAACATCTTGCCCTGGTATCCAGCTCTGTCAAATATTGATGTTTTATCTGTGAGCTTTAATAACGTGTGGACCTGCTGGAGCTTCACTTTCTCACGCAGCAGGACGGTGTGTTTGTTACCTCCAGTCCAGATGTGTCCACTGGTTGCCCGTCTCTTCTTACGGACAGCAGTCGGGCCCGTCCGCTGCTCGGGTATCCCTCCTCCACCTCCAGGTAGCAAACCAACAACGCCGACTTCAGGTAGACCAGCACACGCTGCGCATGGCGCCAGTCGATAGCAAAACTATTTTTTTGAAACACACACAGAAAAGACGGAGGTGTTAGCTTCCAGAATAGAGAGGGACAGGCACAGGGTATGTTAAGCCCAGCTTTAGAATTAAGACAACTAAATGCAGATACGACCAGCTAATGAGCTCGTTACTATGAGAGCAGCTCAGGATTTGATTTTCAAAATGTTTCTATACAAGCAGAAGAATGACATCACATGTTAAGCTAAGGGAGGAGAGAGAGTGGGGGACGACGTGCAGCAATAATGACACTTCAAAACCTCTTCAGCTGTGCAGAATATTCAAGATTCTCCCTGTTAAAACATTTTTGAGGCGTGCCAGTCATTCCTTTAAACATCTGTAAACAGCTGTTTCTGTAAAGGAGCTTTTAAAATAGAAATGATATCAACTCTGGTCGTAGGACTTACAGGCCCATCAGGTGATTCTATGTCAGTCTCAGAGGTATAATCACCTCATCACAGATTTTTGATCTGACAGACCGATCAGAGGTCTCGCTCCTCATCACAGACTGAAATAAAGAGCATCTCCGTTTTCTCTTAAAACCAACAGCAAGAGGCGGTTCACCTGGCTCTGAGTCCCTGGATCTCCGACAGCAGCTCGAACTGACCCTCGTAACACCGCATCACATCGAGCAGGGCGGCTTTCAGCTCAGAGCGTCTGCCCGACATACAGTCGTCCACCAGACCGGCCGTCCCCTCGTTCACCTGCACGAGGAGAAGCTGTCACTTTGAGAGGAATTAACCAAGACGCAAACATCTGAGCGGCTTAAGGTTGTCAAAATGTTCAACACTTCTCATATCACATGCTTAAAATGATCAAATGTAAGTCGCTCTACAGTCATAATGTCGCATGTAGTCCCATTTAGAGCTCAGGTGATCTGGATTTGGTCATCCCTGAATGTCCGTACCTGGATCAGGGTGATCCTATCCAGTTTATCTTTAAACAAAGAGGATAAAAGTGAGGGGATATGGATGATCAAATCTGGATCATTTTAAAAAGAATAAAACCTTTTGAACAACCGCACCCTGAATATAAATCTAGCGCCACAATCAGGTCGAAATTTTATGTGTCCAATTGTTGGCCGATGACCAAAAAAACGTCAGAAAATTGACATCACCAAAAGCCTTAGCTATGCAAATAATAGAATGATGAGCTAACATGCTAGCTTAGCGTACAGAGGGGTGAAAATGACCTGGGCTCGTTACCCTGGTTGTTACCTGGAGTTTGAAGCGGTCATCGTGGCTCCAGGTGACCAAGAGCCTCAGCGGCTCCGGCTCATTGGATGACATGTTGCAGGATAGGCGTGGCCTGAGCTCCACACACAGCTCTGATTGGTTGAAAGACAGCAGGTTGATCTGCATGACGCTCTGTACGTCAGAGATGTAAACCTGCAGCCTGACAGGTGAACAGAAGAGTCAGTGACCGATCACAACAAGGGAACAGGACGTTATCGGACCTGTTGACACTCACTCGTCTCGGAGTTGCTGCCAGTTGGTCAGCCGGCCGAGCGCCGACTCTGCCTGCGCCTTCAGCTGGACCAGCTGATGATCGCAAGACTGCAATGCATTCTGGGCCTTCTGCAGGGACTCCATCAGCTGTTCAGTCTGCTTTTTCTGAAGGAGAGAAGACAAAAGAAGCAGAGGAGACAAGGAGAGGATATAAGCAAACGAGAGTAAGACACTTAGTGAGTCAAAGATGTGTTTCAGAATCAGTTCATATACATAATTGATGCTTTCACACTTGCACAAAAGTCCTGATAACTTCCTGAATTTTGGGTGTTTGAGCTGATGTGAGAACACAGCAGGAAAATGGTGGGGAGAGGGTGGTGACGTTTATATCCTGGGAACGGCGCGTGATCATAGACTGTTTTGTTTACAACTCTACAATTCACTTAGCCGAACGCTTTTCTCCAGAGAAGCAACCGAGGAAGATTTCAGGAGCATACTGCTTTAAGTTTTCTAGATGTTTTCAGGAGGGCATACGGGTGTGAAAATGGTCAGATGAAAGAATGTCAGAATATTTATTTTTTTGCAAAAAGCTGCTTACCTTGTTGTGCAGATGTTGCACCAGCTGTGTGAGCGTGTGTCGTCTCTCGAGGATCTGTTGGATTCTCTCCTGCAGAGTTCTGAGCAGAGCCTCCGTCTCCTCCACCCCCGACCTGGTCTCTGCCTTTAGAGCCTTCCACCTGCCCCGAGCCCCGCCACCTGACACACACACACACACACACATAACCAGATAGAATTAACTTCTGTCTCATGCCTTGTCGTTGTGAATATTAATGTGTGATATTTGGCCGTTCACAGACACATATCAAACACACGCTGTAGAATAATATCATACAGTATCACACCTTATATAACTTGTGTATAAAGCTTTAGTTAATCAGTTATTTACCATTCTTAAGCAAATAGGTCAAACATACAGCCTCTGTTAATGGCTGAAAAAGGGAGAAAGTGGAACCTTAAATAATGGAGAAACAATCAAAGCCTGTGTAACTACAGCCTGTATTCAATGTATGTCTATACTTTAATCAAATCAACAATAAATAAATAAACATAATTTAATATTAAAACAGCCTGAACAAGTCTGAAACATTTGGGTCACTATCTCAGATGGATAATGACCGCAGGATTCCACTCCATGTGTACACAGTATGTGCTCTGTTGTGTGTGTGAACTGTGTGTACCTGGTTGTGGGGGACATGGCGTCGTCATCAGTTGCTGGACGGACTCAAACCCCTCCAACAGAGACACCATGGAGTCCAGGACAAACAGCTGACGCCACAGAACTTTCTGGACACGTCGGCTGTCCTAGAAACACAAACATGTTTTCATGATGAGTTAAACTAACAGAACAGTTTTTAAAAAGAACGGCTACAATCATTAGTGAGTTAATAAAAAAGGAATCCAACTACTTTGATTCGAGAGTTTCATGTAAAAACATCAAAAAGTCAATGTTATTGGCACGTCCTCATTTATAAAGGCTGCTTCCCTCAGACTACATGTGTCATTTTATAAGTGCTGGAAGCCACAGTCTTCGCTCTGTGACCTGGTCACAAAATGTCTTCATGCTATCTCTCCTCAAAGTGCGTCTTGAAATCGGGAAAAGTGTTTCAGGTCCCTTTCCGAATAGCCACAGTTCAGTAGGCAGTACTTTTCAGGATGGAGTTTCAGTATACTGAACTTTCGTGGTCATTCAGTATGCATTTTTTGGGTCCACCTCAGTATACTGAACAGTTCAGTATGGATACTAACTTCCAGGTTTTATGCAGTATCGATCAGATGCGTGCTTTCAGGAAATGAATTGTGTTTTACCACCCACAATGTTATATAACGTAAATCATCAGGTCCGCCTCCAAATCAAAACAAACGAGCGTGGATTAATTGAATCAATTTTTAATCTAGAGTTAAAGTCCCGACTGAAATCACTACTTTAAATTAACAACAGAAAATATAACAAATATCTGCATTATTATAAAACCTTTCTCCCTCTATTTAAATAATGATTTAACTATTTAAATGCGTCTTTATTGATTTATTCTATTTTATATTCTGTATATTACTGTCTTTCATTTGTTCTTTCCATTATGTACTGTATGTTATTTAGTTATTTAATCTGTCTTTTACTTGTGATATTGTTTTTTGTTAACCTGACTGTATATGTGCATTACTCTTCTTGAATAAAGCTAAACAAAAAAAATAAACAAACAAAAAACAGGTGGATGCGTCCGGTTCGGGAAACGTAAATGACGTCACTTCCATACTGAATGAATCAGACGAAGTAGGAACAAATATCTGCCTACTGTGTGTGCATACTGAATAGTAGATACTAACAGTATACAGCACAGATAGTAGGTACTGACTACTGACAGACTGAGTAGGTATTTGGCACTTCGGATGCAGCCCAGGTTTGCTGCTCTTGCTGTCTAGAATATTCTGGAGGATTTGGGTTTTGGAGAGCTGGTCTCTTTTAACAGTTTTAAAGGTAGGTTAAAGGTATTGGAGGATGAAGGGTCAGGTGTTAGATGCTTTGACTGATGAATTTTCTTGCTTTGTGACTCACGATGTGTTGATCTGTAATTGCTCTTGTGCACAACTTCGGAAGGTCAACACTTTTTTATTTTTATTTTTTATATTCAGGTCTAATTACAGATTGTTTTCCCTCAACTGTTTATAGGTTCTTGTTTAAATCACACATATATACTTTTTTATCCCTGCATGGGTTATGTACATTTCTTGTATAAGTCTATTTTAATTGCACAGTTTTAAGTTTGATTCATCTAGAGGTATTCTTTAAATCTTTTTTTAATATATATGTATGGGAGGGGGGGGCATCGGTTTTTGTGGTTTAATTTGTAACAAATGTTTCATGTCATGTCTTTGTAACCTGCTACTGGATGCTTTGAATTTCCCTCTGGATCAATAAAGTATCTATCCATCTATCTATCTATCTATCTATCTATCTATCTATCTATCTGGTTAAATGTGCTGTTGCTTGTCCTGGCCAGGCCACTTTTGTAGATGAGATTTTTAATCTCAATAAGGTTTCCCTGGTGAATTAAATAAATGAATAAATAAATAAATACAGATTTGGCCCTTTGTATTCAGAGAGGTAGAGAGGCAGGCAGACCGTCAGGTAGAGATCCATCCTGGCTGCTTCGGCCCAGGCCGGCTGCTCCAAGTCTCCACAGTCATCCAGAAGAGCAGGGTCACAGTGCTGCAGGACACTGAAACACACACAAGTCAGTATAGACGGTTTGTAACACACTCAGAGTGAAACATAAGAGCAGACATGAATAAAAACAAAGGCCAGCCAAGTCTGAAGAGTTTAACACAAACAGTCTTTATTCAGCCGTTTAATACGAATTCTTAACTGTTAGGGATTAAAGACACTGGTGGAAACTTAAAGGAGCATTTATAAAACGTATCCGAGTGGATAGAGGTAGACATTTAATGTTAAAAAATATGTTAAATGATAGAGACTTACGCTCGAACTTCAGCCATTTCTTTTATTTTTCAAATATCCGCGGTTCAACGAGTCATCTGATTGGCCACTCTGCGGTGACGTCGAGCTCAGCTTTCTTAAAGGCACAGTAGCACCACCTAACGGGCTGGAGGGCGAAGTGATAGATTAGCAGTTAGGGGGGGGATATAAAATTAAACAAAAAAAACAAAACATCAGAAGCATGATACTGAGAATGTCAGTAAAAATACAATGAAGTAAACACGTGACATGTGGCTCCTTTCCTGCATGTCATTCCCCGCTCTCTCTCTCCCTGATTTCCAACTCTATCCACCGTCCTCTCTCTCCATCAAAGGCACAAAAAGCCTTCTTTAAAAAAGAAAAAAAAAGAAGCATAAGTAAGTAAAAGAAAATAATTGAAGTTAAATGCTGAATTTCATGAACCAGCTAAATGGAACTTATTTTGTGTAGCAAAACTGCACTATGAGTCAGAGCTTATTGATTTGAGAGGAAAAGAAAGAGCGATAGAGAGAAAGAGGGAGAGAAAGATAGAGATCCAGCTCCAAAAGAGGAGAGTGGGGAGCTCAGACACTCCTGTTAGAACCTATCCTGCCAGTGTGGGACCTTCCTGGGCCCCCCTTTACGGGATAAGACGGGACCCAGGAGGTCCCCCCTTTCTCGTAAAGAGGAGACCACCTGGGTCCCCTCTTACGCCTTCTACTGACAGGACAGTGCCAGTATAGAGGTGACTCTACCTGACACTGAACCTGATCTAACCAGGTGTTTGAGCTCCACTTCTCCTCTTTGGGAGTGGTACTCTGACAGCTCACACGGGTCTGCACTATGAGTCAGAGCTTATTGATTTGAGAGGAAAAGAAAGAGTGATAGAGAGAAAGAGGGAGAGAAAGATAGAGATCCAGCTCCAAAAGAGGAGAGTGGGGAGCTCAAACACTCTTATTGAAGCCTGTCCTGACAGTGGGGACCTTTGGGGGTCCCCTACGTCTTACGGCAGGACGGTGCCAGTATAGATCCACCAGCACCTGGCTCTTGGCGAGCCTTGGTCTATACAGACCATGCTGGTGACTCTACCTGACACTTAGGGCCTCAACCTGGATCTAGCCAGGTGATAGAGCTCCACATCTCCTCTTTGGAAGTGGTACTCTGACTGCTCACACGGGTCCTATCTATAACCTCGGTTTGAGAGTTGTATGACGTACTCAATGACGTCATTAAAGGAGCAGCGCGGATCGAACGTGCCGCTGTATTTTGGTGTATTTGAATCCATGGTTACTAAGCTAGATAGGATCATTATAAATAAAATAACAAATAGGTCTCTTATGTTGAATTGTAAATAGGCTACAATAAGCCCATGACACTCCTGATAACACTCCCGTTTTGTATGAATGGAGATACAACGTTACCAGATCGTCTATTCATCAAGATGCACACACCCAATCCAAAACTACAAAACTTAAACCCGGCTGCACTCTGCGCACGCGCAAAGCGAGAAGAAGGTTTGATAACATTTATTTGTGTACTATTGTGTAACTTAATTAAAGTCATAAAAACACTCATTTGCTTCTTTCACATCAATATCTAATTCTGTTTGAAATATATGTTGCTATGGTAACAGTGATTGTTACTAATGAAAAGGACAGTAAAACACTCAAGCACCTGCTGTCTATTCATGGGTACCAAAAAGTAGAATCTGTGGACCTGTCTGCACCTCTTTTACTGTGTGTTTGCTCTTCTGTCTTAGAAACAACAGAGTTCTCCTCCATGTGTGTCACTGTGCTCAAATGTCTGCACCAGTTGTTGATGCACACTGAGGCTTTTCAGGATAGAAGAAAGACAAGACTGCAGAAATAATAATATTTGTGAAAAACTGAATTTACTCAAGATGATTTATTTTCTTTATTTGGACCTTTTTTTTGTTCAAGGTCAAAATATCATAAAATCCCAATACTTATAGCAGTAATAGACCTACTCACAGAAAAAATACTGAGCATTAGTCTACCTCAAATGCAAAAATCTTTAATTATTTGATAATATAATATATGGAAAGAGTAGCTAAAGTGATAACGAGGTGGAGCGCCACATCCTCCAAGCGGGCAGCCCAGGTTGAAACCAACCTTGTTAACTTAAAAGATCCTGTGCTAATTTTAATCATCTACAGACCATCCAGACCTAACAATGTTTTTATTGCAGAGTTTTCAGAGTTTCTATCACATTTTATTTCTAAGTATGATAAAATCCTTGTTTTAGGTGATTTTAACATACATGTCTGTTGCCCCTCTCAGTCCCTTGCGGGTGATTTTATGGATATTCTAGAATCTTTTAACCTTACTCAGGCAATACAGGAACCCACTCACTCTAAGGGCCACACACTTGATCTTGTTTTATACAGCGGTCTCTGCCCTAACAACTTTGAGACAAAGGATATCTGTGTGTCAGACCACAAACTGGTTTTATTCAGAGTGGTTCTATCTCAGCCACCTTTTATTAGCAAGGCACCTGTCCGCAGCAGGGTTTTTAACTCTACGTCTGCTAGCAAGTTTAAGGAGCTTTTTATTTCTGTCTCTTCAACTGCCTTTTACCAACATTTTAACACAGAGGAGCTGGTCTCCTCTTTTAATCTCACCTGTCAAACTGTGCTGGACTCTGTTGCTCCCTATAAAGACAAAAAACCTAACAGAGTCCCACAGCCATGGCTAAACGAACTGACTCAGGATCTAAAAAGAGACTGCAGAAGGAAAGAACGAAAATGGAAAAAAACAGGCTTGCATGTATTTTATGAAATATGGAGAGATTCAATGATACAATACCAAAAGGAAGTTAAAGACGCAAGAGCAGCATTTTATTCTAATCTGATTTTAGTCAATCATTCTAACCCCAGAATTTTATTTAAGGTTTTAGAATCAATCACCACCCCCTCCCCTTCTTATTTTACTGATCCTTCTCAGGATCTATGTGAGAAGTTTTTAACTTATTTTACTAATAAAGTCAAGGACATTAGGCAACAAATCATCCCCCCAGACCGTATTTTAGACACCAGCAGGGAACTTAACAGTTATTTTAGCAGTTTTGAGCCGGTGTCCTTGACCTTTTTATCTGAAATTTTAACCCATATGAAATCAGCTACGTGCAGCCTTGATTTTATTCCCACAACATTTCTCAAAGAGGTTTTTAACACAGTTGGACCCAGTATTTTATCCATTATTAATAGTTCCTTGGCGGAAGGTGTAGTCCCCTCTGCTTTTAAACATGCTGTGGTCCAACCACTTTTAAAGAAACCCAACCTTGATCCCACTGATTTTAACAATTTTAGACCAATCTCAAAACTTCCATTTTTATCAAAAGTTTTAGAAAAGGTGGTTTCAACACAACTTTTATCTTTTATGACTGAAAATAACCTCTTTGAGAAATTCCAATCCGGTTTTAGAGCTTGTCACAGCACAGAGACTGCCCTCCTCAAGGTAACCAATGACCTTCTTTTAGCAACAGATAGAGGGGAGGGCACAATTTTAATTCTTTTAGATCTTAGCGCAGCTTTTGATACTGTTGATCACACAATTTTAACTGATCGTCTCAGACATTGGGTTGGTTTAAAGGATACTGCACTTAGCTGGTTTTACTCTTATCTTTTAGAAAGAACCTTCGCGGTCACCATCGGTAACTACTCCTCCTCTACCTCTAACATTACCTGTGGTGTACCGCAAGGTTCGGTTTTAGGTCCCATTTTATTCTCCATTTATATGCTGCCTCTTGGCCAAATAATTGAACGCCACAATGTCTCCTTTCACTGCTACGCAGACGACACACAGATATACCTTCCTTTGAGACCTGAGGACCCTAGGAGCCTAGCTGCTGTCAGAAACTGCCTAAACGATATCAACTGCTGGATGGCGCAAAACTTTCTCCAACTGAACAATTCTAAATCTGAAATCATAGTATTCAACCCGCCAAACACCACTCATATCTCAAAGAGCAGCCTCGGTCCCTTATTCACCAATGTCCAACCCACCGCCAGAAATCTAGGAGTAACATTCGATTGCAATCTCACCTTTGAATCCCATATCAAAACAGTTGTCCGATCAAGCTTCTTCCATCTACGCACCATCTCCAAAATTAAAACAATCCTAACCCAACGAGACCTTGAAAAGATCATCCACGCCCTCATCTTCTCCCGACTTGACTACTGTAACTCCCTCTTTTCCGGAATCACAAATAAGTCACTGTCTCGCCTCCAGCTGGTCCAAAATGCAGCAGCTAGGCTTCTTACTGGTTGTAACAGACGACATCACATCACTCCAATTTTAGCTTCATTACACTGGCTTCCTGTACGTTCTAGAATCGATTTTAAGATTTTACTCATTACTTTTAAAGCACGGACGGGGCTGGCTCCAAGCTATATAACAGAGTTACTGACACCATATGAGCCAGCCCGCAGTCTTAGATCCTCGGGTGGGAGCCTCCTGGTCGTTCCAAAGTCGAGACTTAAAACTAAAGGTGACCGGGCCTTTTCAGTCAGGGCCCCTCGACTTTGGAACGACCTCCCTGAGGAGATAAGACTTGCAGATTCCCTCAATTCTTTTAAATCCCTTCTTAAAACATACTTTTACAGACTTGCTTTTATGTGATGTCGTCTTCTTAATGTCTTCTCTTACTGGTTTTACTATTTTTATCTTCTTCTACTTCTTACTGTCTTTTTATTTATGCTCATATCTTAATCTCCTCTTGTGTTTTAACTTGGTAATTTCTTATCTTACTTACTTTGTCTATTTATGTTTCGTATTTATAGTTAATTTTTATTTTTATTAATATTATAGTTTTGGGTTTTTTGATCCTTTAACCACTTGTTTTTATTTCTTTTACTGCGCTTACCTTCTCATTGCTTTTTATTTGCTTTTATCTCTTAGTTTCTTACATCTTTTTAAATCTTTGGTCCTCTTGGTCTCAGCTCATGTTGTTGGGTTCTTGTGTTCCTGGTTCTTATGATGGTTCTTATGATGGTTCTTATGATGGTTGGGTTATATATGTCTGGTTGTGTATCGTGCACTTTGGGTTCTTTTCTGTTGAATTGTTTTTAATTATTTTTGGTATTTTG